ATAAAATGGTATTGATGTATGCTGGAAAGTCTGGCTCCGCGATTGGTTTGCTTTTAAGCAACTCGAAAGAAAGGGTAACAGTCGGCAGTCTGCCAGCGGATATTCATTGTTCCATGTGCTGACTCTTGGACTACTACCGAATGTCTATGCTTGGTATAAGAATGAGCTCGAAAGGGATGTTTGGCTTTTTGAAACTGTACAAGTGATTGGACATTAGCAAAATCGGATTTTAATAACTTCTTGGATAACTGATGGTTTTAGTTTGTGACTATTTGATTGCAGTGTGCAATAGCATCAACAGCTTTCCAGCATGATCAGCAGCCAATTTGCAGAAATGTTTGGAGATTGAAGATGCCCTGATGGAGCAAAACCGGGAGCTCGAAAGCAAAATTGAATCACTGGAGTCGATAATGAGGATGCTTGAACTGAAAGCCAAAAATGCCTCAGATCATGGTTCGTTTCGGCACTCTCTCCTGCTGTTTTTGAATTTAGTTGTAAAGGTTGTAAGTGTTTCTTCAACCTGATATACTGGGCATCTGATTTAAAAATTATTAGTAGCACATGTTTCTGGTGTCAGTAACTCTTTAGCTACTTATGTGCTTGTTCAAAACGATGAATTAGAATCAGCATAGCAAAGTCATTGAAAGTGCTCGGATAATTCTGCTTGATCGAAAAAAAGCTTAAATGTTAGAGACAGTTACGCTGGTCTTGATCATGCAGACTGTAGACATTATATACTGTTGTAGAGGTAGTTGGAGCACTAAAAGGAATTACACGAAGAGCAGCAAGTATAAATGGGCTTAGTAGAATGTCGGGACGGAACAAAAATTGACAGCCTCAAAAATAGCTTCTGCAGCCTGTATTATTTTACTTGCAGCTGCTCGGCTGGAGGAAAGGGAAGCGGATCAGAAAGCAGAATTTGATAAGCTTCATGAGCGATATAACGTACTGCTGAGGACACATATTGACCACATGGAACGAACAAAGTATCTTATGGGGACAGACAAATTTGAAATGATGCAAAGTCTGCCGTTACCTTCGCAGCAACTAAGAACCAAGTGAGTTCTCGTCAAGCTTGTATATTATGCATAGCTTTTCGGACTGTGTATTCTGAGGAGTTGAAAGATAGCATA